ACTGGTAGCCTGGTGCTGTATGGGTCTGTGTCTGGGCTAGTTCCCTGTGGCCTCAATGCTCTTCAGTTCTGGATTGGTACCTGGTTGGCTTTGGTATCATGGGCTGGTTAGACGATGGGATACAATTAGCATGCACGATGGCCCTGGGGTGATCTGCCAGTGTCCTTATAGTAACATGACAGTCATAATACAACCCGGTTGTCACTGGTGGCAGTGGAGTCATGGGAAGCAGAGCCTGTGTCTCTTAGCTCTGCTCAGATACCTGTGAATGCTCTGCCACACTGTGCATATGATGTCACACCTTGCAACTCCAATAACCTTCATCTGTCAAACCCATCCACAGCCTCCATCTGTCAAACCTATCTTGAGTCTCCATCTGTCAAACCTATCTCAAGCCTCAATCTGTCAAACCCAGCCACGGCCTCCACCTGTCAAAACCATCCAAAGCCTTCAACTGTCAGACCTTTCTCAAGCCACCATCTTTCAAAATAATTCACAGCCTCCATCTGCCAAACATATCTAAAGCTTCCATCTGTCAAACCAATCTACAGTTTACATCGGTCAAACCCATCCAAATCCTCCATATGTCAAACTCATCCAGACCCCCATCTGTCAAATCCATGCACAGCATCCATCTGTAAAACTCATACAAAGCCTCCCTCTATCAAACTCATTCACAGCCTATGTCTGCGAAATCCATTCATAACCTCCATCTGTCAAACTTAACCAAACCCTCCATCTGTCAAACTCATACAAAGTCTCCCTCTATCAAACCCATTCACAGTCTCTGTCTGTGAAATCCACTCACAGCCTGCACCTAGCAAACTCATCCAAACCCTCCATCTGTCAAACTCATCCAAACCCTCCATCTGTCAAACTCATCCATGGAATCCATCTGTCAAACCCATCCAAACCCTCCATTTGTCAAACTCATCCATGGAATCCATCTGTCAAACCCATCCAAACCCTCCATCTGTCAAACTCATACAAAGTCTCCATCTGTCAAACCCATCCAAACCCTCCATCTGTCAATCCCATCCAAACCCTCCATCTGTCAATCCCATCCAAACCCTCCATTTGTCAATCCCATCCAAACCCTCCATCTGTCAAACCCATCCAAACCCTCCATCTGTCAATCCCATCCAAACCCTCCATATGTCGTACTCATCTAAATAATCCATCTGTCAATCCCATCCAAACCCTCCATCTGTCAATCCCATCCAAACCCTCCATCTGTCAATCCCACCCAAACCCTCCATTTGTCAATCCCATCCAAACCCTCCATATGCCGTACTCATCTAAATAATCCATCTGTCAATCCCATCCAAACCCTCCATCTGTCAAACCCACCCAACCCTCCATCTGTCAATCCCACCCAAACCCTCCATTTGTCAATCCCATCCAAACCCTCCATCTGTCAATCCCATCCAAACCCTCCATCTGTCAAACCCACCCAACCCTCCTTCTGTCAAACCCATCCAAACCCTCCATCTGTCAATCCCATCCAAACCCTCCATATGTCAAACCCATCCAAACACTCCATCTGTCAATCCCATCCAAACCCTCCATATGTTGTACTCATCTAAATAATCCATCTGTCAATCCCATCCAAACCCTCCATCTGTCAATCCCATCCAACCCCTCCATCTGTCAAACCCATCCAAACCCTCCATCTATCAAACCCATCCAAACCCTCCATCTGTCAATCCCATCCAAACCCTCCATATGTCAAACTCATCCAAGTAATCCATCTGTCAAACCCATCCAAACCCTCCATCTGTCATTCCCACCCAAACCCTCCATCTGTCAATCCCACCCAAACCCTCAATCTGTCATTCCCATCCAAACCCTCAATCTGTCATTCCCATCCAAACCGTCCATCTGCCAATCCCATCCAAACCCTCCATCTGTCAATCCCATCCAAGTAATCCATCTGTTAAACCAATTTCCAGCCTCCACCTGTTTAACCCATTTTTAGCCTCTATCTGTTAAACTCATCCACAGCACTATCCATTTTTTGTGAGAAAAAAAGCCATTAATTTAAACTTTACCCCGAGGTCAAAGGTTTCCATCCGTTCAAGAGATATAGTTTTATTTTCATGCTGCATTGTTGCTTTTCTGGAGAAGATTCAGCCACCTATTTTATATCAATTAGCAGAGTGAATTCAAATCAGATCTATTAAGGTTCTGTTTACTGTTTTACCAGACTAAGTCATCACAGCATAGAACGTGTGTGTTCCAAAGATCTATCCTAGGAATGATGAAATACTGAATGCAGATCCCCTTTACCAGCCTGAAAACCTCCTCCAGACCCATCCAGTGATTCTATGTTACCAACCTGAGGACTCTCAGCATAATTCTTCTCCATACAGGCATGAGTCTCGTATTACTTTATTACCATTTGTTATTGCCAAACCTTTACTTTGCTAGGTCATGCGTGGAGCTTCAAACTCGAGCGAAAGTCTTTGCTGGCCAGAAGTCAAGGCTGTGTCTCCAGCTCACCAGATGCGGACTGGTCATACAGCCTCACATCTGATCCAAATCTTAATCACCTCATGCTAAGCCCAGTTCTTGCACACTGACACAAGACAATCAGCATGTGTGCCGTGTCAGGTAAGGGATACGGTAACGGTGCAAATGGAATTTCTGAGGCTTCCAGCTCCGGCATTCAAGATTTCCTTCAATGCCAATTTTAACCTAAGGGAAAAGTACATTAAACAGTCATTTCATACATTATATTCCTGGAAGACGAGTGAATTAATCAATGAAAGCAGTGTTACTGTCTCTTTGGAATTACAAAGACCGGTTGATTCTGGGGCAGAAGTTGCTGGTTTTGTCATTTTCCTTGACAAACAGTGACGTCAGACACACAACTGAGTGTGGTCAGGAGCTGTCCCACCTGAATCTCTAATGACACAATGACAATGATGCACAAAGAGCAGAATCCGTCGGTATCTCTCCGTATCCTAATTTCCCCTTACTATCTCTCTGCTCCCTCTCTCGCCTTTCTTCCCCAAGCCCTGCTGTATTTACATCATTAATATATATCTTTATCCTGTACATTTTCCAATAAAAAAACAAACAAACATTTTACATAGTTACGTAGCTGAAAAGAGACTTGCGTCCATCAAGTTCAGCCTTCCTCACATATGTTTTTGCTGTTGATCCAAAAGAAGGCTAAAAACCCAGTCTGAAGTGATTCCAATTTTGCAACAAACTAGGAAAACATTTGATCAAGGGATATCAATAAATTATATCCCTGTATGTTATGGTTTTGCAAGTATTTATCCAATTTCAGTTTAAACATCTGTATGGACTCTGATAAAACCACCTCTTCAGGCAGAGAATTCCATATCCTTATTGTTCTTACTGTAAAAAAAAACCTTTTCTTTGCCTTAGATGAAATCTCCTTTCTTCCAGCCTAAATGTGTGACCTTGTGTCCTATGTATAGCCCGGTTTATGAATAGATTTCCAGATAATGGTTTGTACTGGCCCGGAATATATTTGTATAATGTTATCATATCCCCTCGCAGTTTTTCCAAACTAAAGAGATTTAAATTTTTTAACCTTTTTTCGTAACTAAAATGCTCCATTCCTTTAATCAATTTTGTAGCTCGTCTCTGCCATTTTTCTAGCGCCATGATTTCTTTTTTGCACAGCATATTCAAGGTGTGATCTTACCAGCGATTTATAAAGAGGTACAATTATATTTTCACTCCGAGGATTTATGCCCCTATTTATACATACTAATTTGTTGTCAACGCCAAAATCCTTCTCATGTGTTGTCATGGGCGTCCGCAGGGGGGGGGGGGGCAAGGGGGGGCACTTGCCCCCCCCTGGATTTTTCAGCTTGTTCTGATATTTTTCGTGTGAGATTTAAAATGAACTGCAATACCGGCGCCGGCCAGTAGGTGGCGCTGTGTATGGAGAGAGACAGGGATAGGAAGCTGCATCTTATCCCTGCTTCTCTCTGCTGATTGAAACCGCAGGGGAGCAACACATGCAGCCAGAGACAGCCTACAGATCAGGTAAGTGAGGGATGGGGGGAGGGATAGCCTATAGATTTTTTTGGTGGGGCAGCAGCCTATAGATTAGGGAGTGAGGGATGGGGGGAGGGTTTGAGATAGCCTATAGATTTGGGGGGGCAGCAGCCTATAGATTTTGGGGGGCAGCAGCATATAGATTTGAGAGTGCTGTTAGTGTGCTGTGTGTGAGGGAACTGGTAGTGTGCTGTGTGTGTGTGTGAGAGGGTATTTGTGTGCGCGTGTTTGTTCAGGTCCTGTTAGTGTGCTATTTGTTGTGTGTTTGTCAGGGTGCTGTTTGTGTGTGAGTGTGCTGTTTGTGTGTGGGTGCTGTGCAGGTGTTGTGTGTGGGTTTTGTGTGTTTGTGAGGATGCTGTTAGTGTGCTGGGTGTGTGTGGGTGTTGTATGTGTGTGGGTGCTGTGTGTGCGAGGGTGATGTATGTGTGTAGGTGCTGTGTGTGTGTGTGGGTGCTGTTTGTGGGCTGTGTGTGCTGTATGTTTGGGTGGAGGTGGGGGCAGACTAGTTAATATCCCAGTCCTGCTGCCTTCCCTGGTGGTTCAGTGAAGAGTGAACTCTAGCCCGGGTTCTCTGCTGCCTCCCTCCATGCTGCTGTGGACCGGTGAGGTAGAACTTTGATCTCCCCACCGGCCCATGGAGGCTTAGACCAGAGCCGCCGCTCGGATAGCGTCGGCTCTGCATGAGCCAACCGGGGAGATCCAGAGATCTCCCCTGCCGGTCTCAATCCATTGGCGTGTCGCAGGGATTAGGGTGTGCCCAGGCACACCCGACACACCCCGTGCGCACGCCTATAGAAGTGAGGGATGGGGGAGACAGCCTACATGAAGAGTCAGCAAGGAGCAGGAATGTAAGGTAAGAAAAGGAGAAGGAACAGAAATGAGCAGGAAGGGACATCAAGGAGCAGAAAGGGGCAGCAAGGAGCTGGAAGGGACAGCAAGGAGCACAAAAGGTAAAGTAGGAGAAGGAGCACAAAGGAACAGAAATGAACAGGAAGGGTCAGCAAGGAGCTGGAAGGTAAAGCAGCACAAAGGTAAAGTAGAAGGAGCAGAAAGGGTCAGAAATGAGCTGGAAGGGGCAGAAGGAGCACAAAGGTAAAGTAGGAGAATAAGCAGGAAGGGCCTGCAAGGGGCAGCAAGGAGCAGAAAGGGGCAGAAAGGGACAGCAAGGAGCAGAAAGGTAAAGGAGCAGAAAGAATCAGAAGGAGCACAAAGGTAAAATAGGAGAAAGAGCAGAAAGGTAAAAGAGCAGAAGGGGCCAAGGATAGAAAACAGTGTCAGAAGAAAAAAAAAAGACTGTCAAATGAAGGAGAGGAAAAGGAGATTGGAGCAGGAAGGACAAATGAAGTGAACCCTCCACTTTATTCTGGACACCACATCATAAGGCTTTGGTACCTGGGCCAGGCAGGGAAACGCTGGACCTTCTCATCTCCAAAGGTAAAAAAATATCAGTATTAATGTGTTCACTTTTATTTACTGAGTGTCAAGAAGCACAGAGTGCCGTTGGGTAGGGGTGTTGCTGATTGGCTAGAGCGGTCAGCTGGCACTCTAAGCCAATTAGTAGCTCCCCATTCATAAAAAATTAAAAATATTTTATGAACCGGGAAGTAGCAATTGGCTTAGAGCGTCAACTGTCCACTCTAGCCAATCAGCGGCACCCATGCCTGACGTCAATCTGCACTTCCTGACACTCTGTTTCAGAAGCCAAATACCACTGAGCAACCTGGAGCTGGAGGAAGCCTTTGGGGTTAAACCATTTAAGAGTGATTTAACCCCTTAAAGGAAAGCAAGCATCCAGGGGCTTCCTGGCATCATAGCATTTTCATTTAGGCGAAGTTGTTATGGTAACCAGAATGGTCCTTTAATTTGCTTAAAGGAACACTATAGTGTCAGGACTACAAACATATATTCCTGACACCATAGTAGTTAAAATGCTATTCACCCTGGCTTTATGTGATAATGGCTATGCCCCTTCCCTTTCATGACACTGTCAAAAAGGTGCCAAGCATGGATGTCATTACAATTATGCCCCCCCGTGGAAAAATTCCTGCGGACGCCCATGTGTGTTGTTATCCCTAATTCACTACCATTTGGAGTGTAAGTTGCTTGTGCATTCTTGAACCCTGAAGTGCATAACTTTGTATTTCCCTACATTAAATTTCATCTGCCATTTTAGTGCCCAGTCCCCCAATCTATCCAAATCCCTCTGCAGCAAAGCAATATCCAGTTTATATTTATTACATTACAAAGTGTTTTTTTACATTCTTTATTTTTGTAGTGCAAAGCAAACAAGTAAAAACATTGAGACATCACATGTGTATAAATGCCGAGACAAAGGTGTATATGCAATATGGAATGTAAAGAATACTGCACTATTTTTGTTTTGCAGGTCAGTAGAAATACATAGTAGTGTATTAGTATTAACAGCTCCACAGATTAGTTTATGTGTGCGCCTGGGGAATCAGAGCTGGGGGTGATGTTAACATGGGAGCTAGCGTAGCCGAGATGTACCCTGGTTGACCAATGTAGGTTGTGTAATCGTGGCATAGAGAATTTTCTTTGACACTGTTATTTTCATACATTTATACCCATGAACCAAGACCGACCGCAAGGCCAAAACTTATGGAACTATTTTCGGCTACTGTTACCTGTGCGTTCGGTCAAAACTTTACTCTTCCATAACTCCCGTGGTAACTCAGCTGGAGTGATGCTCTCAGAGAGGACTCTGACCTTCAGATGCTTCCAACTCCTCTTGTACTCCAGGGCTGCAAGTCTGTGATCAAAGTTGGTCTGGGCCGAGGCAAGTACCCCCATCTGCCTCTGCAACTCTGTGATTTGAGTTGAGTGATTCTCTGCTGGGTAAGTTCCCTCATTCTGCAGCTCTTATATCAGGGAACACACTCTTTGCCAGTGGAGCACCACGGACATGCGACTGCTACGATCGGGCGTTAGCTCCGCCCCCACTACTTTACAAAGTTTTATGTCATCTGCAAACACTAAAACATGGCTTTTAATACCTATTTTAAGCTCATTTAAAAATATGTTAAATAGAAGCAGTCCCAAAACAGAACAGAACAGATCAGAGACGCCACTTACCACTTTTGTCCAGCTTGAAAATTTACCATTAATGACAACTTGTTGTACTCTATCCTTAAGCTGATGTTCTACCCAAGAACAAGAATATTCATCTAGATCAATTTCTTTTAGTTTGAACACTAAACTATTGTGAGTAACCGTACATTCGTGCAACGTATCCCCAGATAGCCTGGATCTGAGTGCATATTCTTAGCAAATAGTGCTCAGATCCCATACGTACAGTTCAATCGCCATGGAGTCAAAATCTTTTACAGTCTTTCGGTATGCGATTGACTCCATGGGATGGCTATCTGGGTTAAGTCCATTCGTATACTCCAAACTCCCGAACGGGCCGGTGTTCGTATGCCTTGACGAATGAGAAGGGCGGTCTGTAGTCTCAGCGGTGTTCGGCAGAAAAAGTGTCCGTTTTTAGTTCCATAGAATCTGCGCCGAACACTGCTGGTCTTTCGCATGGTTTAAAATGGCTGCCGCCTCGTGGTCGACATACGAACGACGACCACCCTGCATTCGGTTATAATTAAGAGGTGTCTGCGGTTAACCACAACATTCTAATTGGGATCAAGAGGTTAACCAGCAGCACACTTCTCTTCTGGGTGGCCGTCCGTTCGGTAAGTTCATTCGGTAAAAAAGACAAAAAGGCGAATAGGGTCATACGGACAGGTAATTCCACGAAAGGAAGGCAAACTAGACGAACCAACAATATTAGTCTTACAGATGAATCTGTCACAACTAATTTTTACATACAAAGCCCTCCACAAGTCCTGTATCTTACATTACAAGTCTCACAATAGAGAATTACTTCAAAAGGCCTCTTCATCATCTCATGACCAAAGCTTCCCACTTCTTATCAGATCCTGTCTTCCTGGACGGCTCCACATCTCTTGAACTAATGCATGGATTTCGATTTAGTCCCTCTCTATCTTCATACTCTCTATCTCAATTTAATCCTTAAAGATGTGTACATGTTACAAATCATTCCACTAACACCATACCACATATTTGTGTTCATATATATCTGACCTAAAAAAATGGGATAATTCCAAAATGCATGTATCTCCTGCATTAGAAGATCAAAAGGGGACATTGACATCATACCACCAAAAGTTCCTGTTCCAACAAGTCAACACCAAGGTTAATTCCCCCCTCCCCCCTAACATTCTTTGATCCGGTAAGATACACTGAGCTATGATGGCCACTCTATAGTCCTTAATCCAGCATGAGAACACTGAGCTTTGTTGGCCAACCAATAGTCCTTGATCCTGCAAGAGAACACATTGAGCTTTGATGACCACCTAAAAGTCCTTGATCAAGCAAGAGAAGATACTGAGCTTTGATGGCCACCCAATAGGCCTTGATACAGCAAGAGTGTTTGCCGGACGCTCAGCGGTTTCTGATATAAGTAGTAAAAAAATATTTTGAACTCCTGTGATCCCAAGGATGCTTCTGTAGACAGCTGGGAAATGGTCCTGACATGCAGAACAAGCTTGTCAGTTAAAGTGTTTATTGGTTTTCTGGTTCTGTCAATCCATAATAACTAATAATAATAATTCTAATAACTAGTATTTTCACCATAATCAGAAAAAACTCATCATCTTTGCAATGTGATGGGGCATAGGCATACAAAGCCATTCATTGCCAATTTGTCAATGTTGGGCCTAAGTTGCCAATTCAACACAGCTAAATGTGGAACGCCCGCTCCATCTGCAGTAATTTAAAATCAACAGTCATACACAGCTTTTTCATCTCACACTCACTCACACTACTTGCACTTACAGAGACCTGGCTGTCCCCTCTTATAGTGCTACTCCTGCCTCTTTATGTTTTGTTGGGTTACAATTCTCTCACACTCCCAGACTCAACTGTAAAGGAGGTGGTGTAGGCATCCTTCTCTCCCCTCAATGTACCTTTCAACCAATCATAACTGCCCCTACCTTCTCCTTTTCTTCTTTTGAAGTTCACACTGTCCGCCTATTTAAACCCACTCCTTTAAGAATTGCTATCATCTACCACCCCCCTCCCCCCCCCTCGGTCATCCTAGGCTATTCCTTGAGCACTTTTCTTCCTGGCTTCCCCACTTCATCTCATCTAGTACTCCTTCCCTTATACGTGGGGATTTCAATATCCCAATCAACGACCCCAGCTGCACTGATGCCTCTCATCTGCTCTCTGTAACCTCCTGCTTTGGCCTCACGCAATGGTCCAATTTAGCAACCCATACAGTGGGAAACACTCTTAATCTCTGTACTGCCTCTAATCTCTCTAATATTCCTTTTCCTCTATCTGACCACCATCTGCTGACTTTTGACATCGGCATACCCAAGACCCAATTGACACCACCGTCTGAACATCAATCTCACAGAAACCTCCAATGTCTTGACCTAAAGCATTTCTCCACTAATCTCCAAACTCTCCTCTTACCTATCTCAAACCTCACCTGTCCTAGCTCTGTAACCTCTTTCTACAATTCCACCCTCTCCTGTCAACTAGACATCATGATGGCTCCTCCTACATTTAAACGCAGCAAGCGCCTCCAACAGCAACCTTGGCACACCAAGTTGACTCGATAACAACAAAAATGCTCCAGAACTGCTGAATGCTGTTGGAGAAAGTCTCACTGTGCGTCTGAATTTCTCCACTATAAATTTATGCTGCACTCATACAGCTTGGCTCTTTCCTAAATTACTTAAATACCCTCATAACCACACTCTCCCATGAAACCCAAATGACTATTTCACACATTTAACTCTCTTCTTCGCCCTATTGTTCCTCTTCCACCTACTAACTTGATCACCTTAGACTTTGCAACTCACTTCACTGACAAGATCTCTACAATCAGGGAAGAGATCTCTCATCTTTCTTCTTCCCCTTACAATACTTCCCCTAACTTCACTCCCTCTCTTTCTCTACCTCTCCCTAAAATTCTCAATCTCTCTCTCTCCTCTGGCATATTTCCATTACTCTTCAAACATGCAACTGTAACCCCAGTTCTAAAGAAGCCCAACTTTAACCCTAACTCCTCGTCCAACTACCGTCCCTTCTCGCTACTACCTTTTGTGTCCAAAAACCTTGACAGAGTTGTGTATGCGAGACTTCCTCGAGTCCAACTCTCTGCTAGACCCGTTTCAGTCTGGATTCCGCACTTGTCACTCTATTGAAACAGTTGTGAACAAAGTATCCACTGATCTACTCGCTGCAAATTCTTGTGGTCACTACTCTATCCTAATTCTCCTTGACCTTTCTGTGGCTTTTGACACTGTTGATGATCAACAGCTTCTTCTCATCCTCTGCAATATCGGTCTTAAAGATTTTGCTCGTCACTCTATTGAAACAGCTGTGACCAAAGTATCCACTGATCTATTCGCTGCAAAATCTCGTGGTCACTACTCTATCCTAATTCTCCTTGACCTTTCTGTGGCTTTTGACACTGTTGATCATCAACAGCTTCTTCTCATCCTCTGCAGTATCGGTCTACAAGATTTTGCTCTCTCTTCTGATGTTCGCCTTCAAGACTTCTCGAAGGCTACACCGTTCCTCAATCTCAACTACTTAAAAAAATCAGTAAAAACCCACTTATTTAAAAAGCGTGTCAATTAAACTTCTCAGATGGCCACTTGAGGTGCTTCCTGGCTCAGTGCTGCACAATAGGCAGCACTGCCGTTCAGCATCTCCACGCTCTGCATGGGAATGCTGAATTTTCCTCATAGAGATGCATTGATTCAATGCATCTCTATGAGAAGGTGCTTATTGGCCAAAACAAAGTTTGTCCCGACCCCTGCCTTTTTCAGTCAATCCAATGCTTTCCCTATTGAAGGTGCTTTCCCTATGGGAAAACATTGGATTGGCTATAAATCGGCAATTCTGATGATGTCACCAAGGGGACAGAGCCAGCGCCGGCGGACCCATGGAGAGTTGAAAATAAGGTGAGTTTTAACCCATTCTGAGGGGCTAAGGGGGGGGAGGGGGGGCAAGCCACCTAAATGGTGGGTTGGCACTATAGGGTCAGGAATACATGTTTGTGTTCCTGACCCTATAGTGTTCCTTTAAATGTAAAATTTGTTTTAAATTCTCACTTCAATAAATAACCCTGCTCGTGTAAACCTAAAGGCATGCTGTTTGATTAGGAAGTGAATTTAAACATCTGACATCTTGCGTCACCCTATCTCTTATCACAACATGTCTTCCCACAATCCCTTTCATTTCCTCTCTGATGTGGAATGTGTAAGGTTTTTGTATTAAGAAATTCAAGGGTATAAATTAAACATGAAGTTTGGCCTTGGCACTGTTACCCAGCTGTACGTGACTATCTCCACAAATTCCATTGGCACCTCACCATCTTGCTGCAATGGAATTTACCCACAATCCCATCTGCTTCTCACCTTAAGTGGTATAATTGTCCCAAGGGTATAGATGATCACTACAGTACACAAATCATAACGTATCAGATGTGTTCCCGGGCTTAACATCTGAAGTGAAGGGGGGGGAATCAAGACAAATGTTGGAAATTGGCGAGGACGATTTAATATCACCATCTGGGCTGCAGACAGATACTGGTTGTCAGTTTACATTCTGCAGTAACCGTTGTCGCAGTAAAAACTGTAACCCTTATATGGACCCATCACTACACATCAAGATTTCCCATACACTATTCTCTTATTCCCTATATTTAAGAAAAATGTGTTTTAAAATGAAATAGAGAAATCACTTCGCACTACAGTGTTTTACTTTACTGTTGATTTTTTAAACTTTTGATCCTAAATATTCATCATTATCAGCAACAGAAACATAAAAACTGAAATATTACTCCTGTAAACAAGATTGTTTGGCTACTTTCAAAGCTGTGATGGGTCAACTGAGATACAAGGCAACAAGGTTAATCCCATACGTCTCTGAGGATGTCCCATCGGGCACATAATGCCTTAGATGCCTTAGACTCTCCCAGTACTACCCCCATTCTGGTCTGTTAGACTTTTAATTTAATGAATAAAGGTATTTGGATATTAGAACGCTATGCTAATTGAGATTGTGTGAACTTAACAAATCGCTTGTTCCATAACAGATTACACGTTCTTTAAAACCGATTGTGTGATCTATAACAAATTACACGTTCTTTAGAACAGATTGTATGATCTATAACAGATTGTTAGCTCTATAGAACAGATGGAATGATCTATAACAGATTGTTAGCTCTTTAGAACAGATTGTATGATCTATAACAGATTGTTAGCTCTTTAGAACAGATTGCATGATCTATAACAGATTGTTAGCTCTTTAGAACAGATTGTGTGATCTATAACAGATTGTTAGCTCTTTAGAACAGATTGTGTGATTCATTTTGAATTTTAAGACAATTTATAGGCTTCATAACATGTTGAGCCCTCAGTTTTTCTTCCTCCAGGCTGCTATATAGGATCTTGCATTATGTGTGTGTGGTCTGAAACCTTTCCTCGCTCACATGTCTCCATCATCCGTGACAGATACTGAGCAACCAGAGCGGCTCTGGGCCCCTAAATGCAGCCTGTCTGGGCATTGATCCTTTTATGAAAAACTGGGCCCATCACTTAACTCCAATCTACTTTAATCATCTACAGAGAGTGAATGTTCGTTCTTACACGACATTCTGATTGTGCTAAATTCTTTTATTTGGAATTCCATGTAAAAGCACGGTGATCTTTTCTGGTATTGTCCTCTGAGATTAGGTTTGTGGAGGTTGAAGGACGTTTCAACAACTGTTGTATTTAGTGAAAGGAAAAGGTCTCGAAAATGAAAGAATGGAAGTACTTTGAGCTGCCAACTGAACAGTGCTTGATGCCATTTTTTGTGGCTGAAAATTGTACATTTTCATTAGTTCTCTAAGGAAATTCTTCAAAGGAACCTGTTATAGTTGGCTCTAAAATGCTCACCTCAAATCAATTTCACTGATCATTAACCTGTTCTTCAAGCGGACAACCCATGAAGAATCGCGAAGACCTCTGTTGAGGGGTACTCGAAAGGGATGAACCGAACCCCCCAGTAAAAGCAAAAACAGAGCTTGACTATTCACCAAGGATATTCATATAAAAGTAATTAATTTCACTCAAGAAACTCAAGTCAATACGAAAATAAGTGCTAGTCACTAATAAAGAAAGAAAAAACATTTTTGGCCAGGAACATTAAGTCCTAGAAGCAGGTATGGTGCTTCCAGAGGTGGCTGTAGATTAACAGAGGCAAAGTTTAAAAGTGGGACAAAATAATCTCTTCCCCCTAATAATCCACTCATCACCCACCATTACCCACTCAGACCCCTGTAACTGCAAAGTAAAAATACAATTTCTCCAGTTTCATACACCTACTGCTCAATGGTCATGAATTGTAGATTATGCTAATGTAGTGCACCTATAATCTTAATTTTAATAAAGGCAGGAGGCGAGTATTTTGCATAACCTCCAGCAGCACAAGTCAATCATAAAACTTAAACCAATCAGAAACAAGTAACTCATTCCATATAAAGCCCTGACAGTTTTATCTCTCCCTCTTTCTGTGATGTGAATTGACAGTCTAGTACACAGTCAGGCAATGTAACAATAACTTTGAAGAAACTTGATAGCAGTAGGTAGGGTTGAAGAATGGACACTTCCAGTATATCCAATCTCGAGACCGTAGATAAAGGCCACACTGAAAATAACAGAAACAAGTGAACAGTAATGGTAATAAACGGATGTCCACATAACATAGACGATCAATATGTAATTCAATATTAGGATGTTATAATTGAACATATGAAATTAGTATATTGTATATGACCGGCATAGGCAACCTTCGACACTGCAGATGTTTTGGACTACACCTCCCATGATGGTTTGCCAGCATTATGTGTGTTAGAGCATTATGGGGATGTAGTCCAAAACATCTGGAATGCCGAAGGTTGCCTATCCCTGGTATGAGATGCACTATATGGCAATAGTCCGTAGTGGACAACTCAACAATCCTATACTACCACCAGACAAATCAGCACTAACTGGATAAAACTAATAACTAAAGACGAAACCGGACTAAAGTAAAATAGCCGTCAAAAGGGAGGGAACCAAGGGAGAGAATGTACTAGCCTCCTGTCATTATTACAATTAGGGTTATAGGTACACCAACCTCGCCACTGGGCATTGGAGAAGCTTGTTTGCCCGCCTCCTGCCTGCTGACCATGGCCCCTGGGAGATTTGGCCCTTTTAATACAGTATTTGGGCATATTGTATTTTATTATGCTGCTGCTGGTCCTTTAAGAACCATCTGGGGACATACTGTGACTTTTGGGAACAATGCCCCTTTAAGACTATGGCCCTTGGAAGATATTGCCTGTTAAAGACTATTTTAGCAGATTGGATTTTAAAAGACTTGCTGCCCCTTTAAATTGTATTGGAGCAGTTCTGCAGCTTTAAATTGGCACTTCGGATGCAGCCGAAGTGCCGAAGTAGTCGAAGTGGCTGCCATTCGACAAACGAACACGTGGCGGCGGCCATCTTTAATTCAGCTGAAGTTTTACCTTCTCCAGACTTCAATGCATTCGACAGTTCGAACGCCATTCGACAGTTCATTCGACAGTTCATTTGACAGTTCATTTGACAGTTCATTCGACAGTTCAACAATTGGAATGGTTGTCGTTCGTCTGTTTGAACTGACTTTAAAGGACCACTCTAGGCACAGCTTAATGAAGTGGTCTGGGTGCCAGGTCCAGCTAGGGTTAACCCATTTTTTTTAATAAACATAGCAGTTTCAGAAAAACTGCTATGTTTATAAATAGGTTAATCCAGCCTCTAAAGCCTCTAGTGGCTGTCTCATTCACAGCCCTAGAGGCGTTTGTGTGCTTCTCACTGTAAAAATCACAGTGAGAAGACGCCAGCGTCCATAGGAAAGCATTATGAATGCTTTCCTATGAGACTGGCTGAATGCGTGCGCAGCTCCTGCCGCGCATGCGCAAGAGGAGGAGAGGAGGCGGAGAGGAGGAGGAGCTGGAGAAAGGTAAGATTTTAACCCCTTCCTCTCCCCAGAGCCCGGCGGGAGGGGGTCCCTGAGGGTGGAGGCACCCTCAGGGCACTATAGTGCCAGGAAAACGAGTATGTTTTCCTGGCACTACAGTGGTCCTTTAACATGGGAAATAGACCAACCGCACAGCCTGATTCTCTGGAACTGTTTTGAGCATGAAAATGTGCTTGTGGTCGGGCAAACTTGACTTATATCTATCTCCCGAACTGTTGAACGGATTCGAATGATTTTTGGGTATGTTTATATTTGAAATGTGCTGATTAATAATATGTAATAATATGTCATTAATAAGATGTAAATCTTTATGAAGATTGGATGTATATTTTAAAGTTATAGTACATATATAAAAACTGTATTTTTCCTGCTTGTGATAATTATGTTAACCCACTGTGTACCATAATTAGATCACAGGCAGAGGGGAGGATTTTGTGTATAATTGCTGGGAGTGTCTTTCTGTAATGTACGTGTGTTATTGGTTGTTCTGTAAAACCCTGTGGGCAGTACTAAATTTGTGGATTGGGAATAAAAGAGGCTGTATGTGCCAGTACAGTCAGTTTTGCTTGACCTCAAAACGAAGTGTCGTCTCGTTATTGAGGGAATTGGATTGTATGCTGATTGTATGCTTTTCCTGTTCAGCTGCTTACAGCATTCATATGCTTGAGAGCATTTGTATGCTTCTCCCTTTCGGTGGTTGTGGTGTCTGCTGCAGTGCTTGGAGTCCTCAGGAAGCGCTAGGAGCATCCTTCAACGGAGGTACCCAGTCGGGGTGTCAGGTGATCCGTTACAGTTAGCATAATCTACAATTTTACAACATTTTACAACGTAGAGAACTACGTCTATGTCCCATAACCAAGTGTATTTCAATACTGGTCCTGGATAGTATGATACCGTGTGACATACCAAAGGTCCTGACCAACCGGCATACCCTGAAGCAAAATGTGAACCGCCAAAATCTCTGATGGTACCTTGTGGGTTTGTCAGTAGAAGGGAAGATTATGGAAGGAGCAGTGGATGGTCCAGAGATGGAGTCAATAAGTCCGGGAACCACCTTTGATTCTGCCATAATGGCGAGGTGAGTGTCACCTAGGTCTCTGGGGTTCAAAGATGATCAAGGACTCTCGCCAAAATCGAGAAAATGGATATGCATATGCCCCTTGCGTTGGCCCAGGTTGGAGAAATGCATCCCCTGTTCACATTGAGGTCTGGAAGGCCGACTGTTTGCATCATGGTATACACTGAGGTGTCCCGTTGCCAATCTCTGGCATGAAAACCAGTCCACAGTGAGGTTGGTGATCTCCTGAGGGTACTCTGGTCGGAGAGTAACTTTGCATGGAAGTAAGAAACGGTAAATGTCCTACGTTATTACTATTGGAGCCCGAGCCCGAGACCGGGCTCCACCCCAAGCACTAGGTATATTGCCCATGTGTAGGAGAATACAACAATCGGATATGTCCTTGGCTAGATGCAGGTCGCAGATGATCCCACCATCGGTCGTCTCTTCCCCAGACCATGGGCCTCCAGTGGGAGTTTGTGCAGTGAGCTTCCCAGCCCTAGAGGCTTACATTCGATTTCACTATGAAATCTAATGTGGATCCGAAGATGGCTCTGCCGTCCCATGTTGGTATATGTGGGAGCCATCAGTAATTTCTGCTCACGCCTCCGGTGAGACCATCATCCAGTGATCCTAGGAGCACCTTGTCCCCAGGTAATAGGCTTTCGGGTATTGCATACCCCGGAAATGTAGAGTCCTTAGGAAGGTTGCCTATATAAAAGAGTGAAGGCGTCATATCACCGAAGGGGAATGGAGTTCTTGCAGAGTGTGCAATGCATCTCCCTACGAATTCCGGTCCTATTGAATCCAAGCATGTCGCCTAGATAGGTAAGGATTTCCTTGTGGCGAAGATGCGCCATGACTGGCTTCAGGAGTTTCTTGAAGTACCATGGGTTGAACTCATAATGGTAGACATGTGAATTGGCATGGTCGGTCCTGTCAATGAAACCAAAGGAATGGATGACTCCCTGGTGTGATTAGTGTAACAAATTGAAGATCCTTACCTGCTCCCGTGGGGATTTTTCTATACAGCAGTTCGGGACTTTTAAAGCATTCATCATACGAATGTAAACTACCGAACCCCGGACCACCCTGCTACCTAATTATGGGTAATTTACCTCCCTGATCCGCGAATACAGTCTTCATAGGAAACCCACGAACGCTTTGTGAAGTACCTGGGTGGCCTCAATTTCGGGACTTTTACACGTGGTCGCAGCCATCTTAACTCCCGAACAGCGGTGTTTTGCCATCGAGTGTCTGGAACTAAAATCGGACACTCGAGTAGGCGAACACCACTGAGACCTCCATAGCACCGGAGATTCGTGCCAAAACTACCGAACGGTAGAAAGACTTAGTAGCATATGGGGATTCTGGCGAACGTCGAGTTACGCACGGATGGCAAGCCTTTCGGGACTTTTAACGCGCGAACAAAGACCAACCGCAAGGCCAAAACTCATGGAACTATTTTCGGCGACTTTGCCTGTGCGGTTGGTCCAAACGTTAAAGTTCCATATCTCCCGAACCACTGAACCGAATTAGCTGATTTTTTTATATGTTGATCCCCCAGAATAGGGCATGCATTTGGGGTACATCCAAAACTTGGGGGAAAATGTGTCTTTGTTAATTGGGTTACAAGCTTATCTGATGGGAGGAGATGTGTGGGATGTACCTTATGTTTTATTGGTTGTTGTGTTAATTATGTGGGTGTCTCCCTTGCATGGGCAGAATCACATAAAAAGAGAGTGCCTGCCATTAAAAGCCGGTTCTTCTTGACCCTTCAAAACGTAGTCTTGTCTCGTTATTGAAAGGGAATATGCAGCATAATCACTTATATCTTTTAAGAGCTCTGCCTGACTCCTGCCTTGGATCCAGTGGATGGGAATAAGTGACTCCACTACTATACAGCGACTTGCCAGGAAGAAAAGGACATCTCCAACGGCTGATACCCTCTTACTAACTGGGTAGCCGTTACAATTAGCATAGACAGGTATGTGTCCCTCCAATCCAAATAAGTGAACCCATCTTAGGTGCGGAGGAGATCTCGCAGAAGATGAGTACCATCCATGTTGAAGTGACGATACACCACGAATACATTGGGTAGGTATAAGAGGATGACGGGTTGATAGTCTTTTGACCATAAAGATATTGCTGAGGTAACCAGTGACGCTTCTGATGAATAAGGTGTAATTCTCCTCATCTATGAGGTTTGTGGTCCTCCAATACCCTCAGGGGAGGCGGTTATTGAAAATGCCCCCAAGGGTTGAAAAGATATCCTGATGAAGTATTAGCCCAAGGAGCTAGCTTACCACACTTGGTCGTTCTGCCCCGGAGTATAGAGGAATTCTATGACATATCCTCTGACAGTCTGGAGGATTCTAACGTCCATAGAGATTGCTTCCCAATTTGAGAAAAGGAGACCTTTTGCTGTGGTTACATCGTGAAAATGTTGAAACAGGCGATATCTACA